GATCGTGAAGATGCAAACCAACGTCTGATACACGACTACTTTCAAGAAAATGCAACTTTTCAAGGATACTACTTTAGAAGGCGCTTCAGAATGTTCAAACCATTATACGAACATATAGTCGAAGATGTAACGAGTGAGTGTGATTTTTTTGAGCAACCGCCCGATGCTAGAGGTACACCAGGTTTCACCCCATTTACAAAAATATACAGGTGCACTTCGTCAGTTAGCATATGGCATCCCTCCTGATGCGTTGGACGAGAGTTTTAGGATGTCAGCTAGGACCGCACGAGATAGTCTACACCATTTTTTGCAAAACTATTATTGAGTTTTATGGTCCAAAATATTTACGTAAGCCTACACACAATGACATCATGAAATTACAATCTCATCTTGCTAGCGTACATGACTTTCCTGAAATGTTAGGAAGTTTAGATTGTCTACATTGGGCATGAGAAAATTATCATGCCTCATACCATGGTCAATTTACCCGAGGTGATCATGGACATTCAATGGTCATACTTGAAGCGGTGGCGTCACAAGATCAGTGGATTTGGCATGCTTTTTTTGGTTGCCCCCAAGCAAAACTATATTTTAAACACATTAAAATCACATTAATAACTCCAATCCTTCCCAGCCATTATGCCAAGACCACAACGCATGCATTTGTGTCTAATTCCTAAAAACCCCCCATACTCCAAATACTCACAATCCTCATAAACATTCGCCCACTCACCCCGAACTATGCTCATTTTATGCAACCCTCCGAATCCATCCTCAGAAAACCTCTTTACCCTCAAGGTATTTTTAACTGAGCAACACAAGCATACATAATCTAGATAATTACAATTTATGATACCACATTGGAGCTCTTTGGAATTCTTCACTTGCTTGATAATTTGATCTTGGATAACTTTGAATTCACCACCTTTGTTGTTTGATTTCTTTGGTATCTTCAACTTTTTGAATTTCTTCGGAATTTTCGATCTTCTAATTTCATACTTAACTTTGATGCTCCAAAAATTCTTCAAACTTTTTCTTGTAATTCTCTCTTTTTTTTTACATGTTCCTCACTTTTTTTCACTCAAATCCCTACATGCTTAAGCAGGGGCGCTCAATCTCAACCTTTATTGGCTAATGATAAAAATCTTCCTGGATACATTTCAGGTTTAGGCTGCTAAACATATTGCATCCTTCAAACTAAGCGAGGTCGTGTTTTTGTCCCATGATTTCACTGGAATAAGGAAGCCACAAATGCACTAGAACATATATAGGCTCAACTAAACATTCGGGTTTTCATGCAATCATCAAATATAATACTAGTATGATCCTAATTGCTTTACCAAAATTTTCTATATTAATCCTAGCAAATTTTATGCAAAAATTTCAAAAGTAACTAAAATTTCAAGATTTTCGAAATTTAACTTAAATTTTAACTAATTTAACCAACCCCCTACCCCACACTTAATTTATGCAATGTCCCCATTGCATATTATGCATGATAAAGAACAATAAAATAAAAAAGGAATTGGAACAAACTCCCCTGGGATAGTAGTTGCAAGGTTGAACTTTTTCGTTTAAAGCTCCATCTTCAGCTGACTTTAGACATGGGAACAACTCATCCATGTCTTGGGTGTCAAAATCTCGTGTGGTACAGTCTTTACAAAAGCTCCGAACATAAGGGAAAAACTCTTAGAAATGCTCGGAAAATGATCGGGTTGAAGCGTAAATGGTAGAAAATCGTGAATTTTCACATGGACTCGGCGAGTAGACCGTTGGGTGACAAAACTTTTATTCTGCCCAAGTCCGTTTATGATGTAGGGGGGGGGTTATATAAACTAATAATTTCCCTCATTTTTCTTTAGGTAATAAACACTATATAACCCTTCTATCAATTGGACTCATAGCTTGACTCAAAACTTCGTTTCCTCTCTCGCCTAGACTCGATTTCTCACTTCATCAACCTTGACTCTAGACCCTCACATGCATCCTTACACTCAAACTGAAAAGATCAAAAACAAATACCAAGTAATAATAAAAATAAATCAAAATAAAAATCCTAAATTATCCCTAAATACTAGAAGTTTAGAAAGAAAAAGAAAAGCAAACTCTAATGACGGGTTGCCTCCCGCAAGCGCTTCTTTTTGTGCGAGTCTTTAGCTGGACTCCCAACCTAATAAACTTCCAATAAACTCAATGCCAATCCATCCGTTGCATTAAATATTTTCTTTGGACCAATTTGTAAAATTTGGCTCTTTTCTTCAAAAATTGGCCAAACGAGCTTGAATACATAAAACCCAAGAATATTGACAAGGGTTGGAACCGGTTGGATACTAATCATAAATGGATCATGATTTAGAACTTTCTCCAAAGTTGGAATCGTCACCCCATGCTTTGAAACACAAACCGGAAATACAGGGGGGCATGTCATGGTAATGGTCAAACCACAGCTTGGTTCCTGCAACTCAGCTTGTTCTTGTTCTTCGTCTGACCCTCCTGCTAGCAATCTTTCCAGCTCTTCCAAGTCTCTTTCTGGATTAAATTCTTCATCTTGTAACTTAGATGTCCCTTCTGTGTTGGGCAAGATGTTATCTAACCATCTTCCAAATTTCTGCAAATCTTCATCTGAGTCATACTCCTCATCTCCTTGCTCAATTTCCTGTACTACTTCCTCAAGAAAAGCATCAAAAGCATCGAGATTTGGAAAATTCATAATAAATAAAAATAAAAATAAAAAAATAAACTAAATAAAAAAAATTAATCAACAAATAAAATAAAAAATGATAACAATTAGCAAATAAAATTAACTATTTAGAACCGTTCCCCGGCAACGGCGCCAAAAACTTGATGTGTGTAAATTCAACTAGTTTTATCCCTACTTTTTATTAATAATTTGAGCACACAAAGGCAGTGAACCTGTCTTTAAGTGGTATAGATTGATAAGTAAGGTATCGAACTCAGGGAACGGAAATTAAACTAATAGCTAATTTTAACTAAAACAAATAATAAAAGTAAATGGTTTTTCTCTAGTTTTGCAAGACTAGAAACTTAAACAAACTAAATTTAACTAATTAACTAAAGCAGCAACTATTCACCAAATTTGATAAAGATGTTTCTATTTAGGTTCAACCAATTCACTCCTATGGTTATTTAAGTTAAGATAGATTAATTGCTATTGGTTACCAATGATGATAGTTAGGTTCATGTTCATTACTCCTAACCCTTAGACAATTAACTAATTTAAGCGTTGATCAAGTGTTTAAACTAATTAATTCCCTAGATTAATTATTTGGGTTAAATAAGATTTGTAATGGTCAATTAAGTTATTAATTCAATTAACCTCTTGTTGATGGTTTCTCAACAAGCTCACACATTAATCTTCCTATTTTCTTATTAATCTTAGTTTCATAATCATTACTTCCAAGCATACGTTTTAGCATTCACATAGACATATGAGGTTAACAATTAAGTGATGTTCATGCAACCTAATTGCCTTCCAATTAACAGAAAATAGTAGTGATTAACACATAAGGTTCTTTAACAAACTTAATTTAACAAATCACCAATAGATAATTAACCAAAATTCAATAATTAAACCATAGGAGTTCTTTGGTATTCCCCAAACAAAAACAAAAACGAGTTTAGCTCATAGTTGCAGTAGAAACAAGTAAAGAAACAAAGTTTATGAAAGCAAACATGTTTAATTCCTAAGTCTAAGTGGTAGAATTAACCTAATTGCTTGAATTCTTCCAACTCTTGAAGCTTAGGGTTCTTCAACGCCTTCTGAACCTTTTAGTCGCAGCTAATCCTCCAGAATTCGCCAGGGGTTCCGTTCCATATGATAAGGATTCGTCTTATAAAGATATCTCAAAACAGAGGGTACTCGCCGAGTAAGGCCGATGTACTCGCCGAGTAAGTCATCCTTGGCACCCTTTAATCTTCTCTTGCTTTCCTTTTCTCATTTTTGCCTCCAAGCATATCTTTTGGGCTGAAAACACAATTCAAAGCATTTTAAGTACCTTTTGTCCAAATTATTCTCATAACTAACCAAAAATAACTAAGAATATATGTTAAATGACTAACTAATTATGCACATATCATTCTCCTCGATCTTTCAACGACATTAACGTTCTTAATCGGTCACCTATATTTAACAACATATACGACGGATCTGCACTAGATTTTTCTTTCCAATTGCATGGAATTCCATATAAATATGGTTATTATCTAGTTGATGGGATCTATCCTGAGTATGCAGTTTTTGTTAAATCGTTTGCGTGTCCGAATGATACTCGTCGGAAAAAAAATTCAAGAAAGCTCAAGAAAGAGCTAGGAAGGATGTCGAGCGGGCTTTTGGAGCTCTCAAGAAAAACGTTGGTCTATATTGAAAAAACCAACAATTTTTTTACAGCGAGGAAAAAATGATGAAGTCATGTATGCATGTATAATACTGCATAATATGATTATCGCAAATGAAGGAAGAATGATATGTAAGTATGATGAAGAGGAAACCATTCTGGTGACACAAGGAATAGAAATTGGGGGCGACGAGTACATTGAAAAGAGAGCAGAGGTTTGTTGCAATGAAACACTTCACAATCTTCGTATGTATTTGGTGGAACACATTTACAGGATGCAATGCATTGACCTCAATTTGGATCCGGAGGAGGACTCGGAAGACGAGTTCTCGAAAGACGACTACATGTAGTACGTTTATTTTAAATCATTTAATGTATGTTTTTTTGAGTTTGAAGGTTTAAAATTTCTAGTATGTTTCTTTTAAAGTTTGTAGGATTTTTATTTGGGTGATAGAATGTAATGTTATTTTTATTTTAAACTAGTGAAATGAATGGTTTTTATTAAAATTATAGTTTTTATTTAATTAACAAAAAAAACCCAAAGTGTGGTACCACTCATTGGATGTGATATGAATGAGATCATATTTTTGTGGTAATAGGTGAGATGATGCTTATGTGTCACTGTGGTTTCATGAGGGAGCGGCACCACTCCTCTAGCCTTAACATAATTACTTGTGAGTACCTGAGTATTTTTTTATTTCAGTTATTTCTTTGATTCTCTCAGGCAACAACTCTTATGACAGCGATTACCATAATGGCATAGAAAATCGTAAGTCAACGGACTAGTTGCAGAACAGGGGATTGGTTGTGAAAGAGGGTGATGCATGAGTCAACGAACTAGCTGAAGAACATATGGCAGCCATTACCATAATGGCATAGAAAAGAGTAACGTATTTACTGCGTGTCATAATTTAACAAATGGAAGCATTTACTACTCTCCAACAAACTTACAGGCTCTCTTCTCTATATATGCATGCCCTCCTCTTGTTCAAAACCCCATTCCACTCTCCCTTTATCTAGCTTAATTAGTCTCTGTAACAAAAAGAATATATACAAACAGATTCACATGGGTGACAAAGAGAAGATTATGTTGAAATTTTGTTGCTTGTTGTGGGTGTTGGTGATTGGCATGTTGTGGAATGTCACGGCAGAAGACTACAACGAAGACGATGGTGGCATGGTAGATGCGTTTGCTCCCGATGCAGTTGGGGGAGGGATGGTTCCCGCGATATTTATATTTGGAGACTCGCTAATTGACAATGGGAACAACAATGATTTGACTTCTTTTGCAAAGGCCAATTATTATCCTTACGGCATTGACTTCAATGGAGGTCCTACTGGTCGATTCTCCAATGGTTACACCATGGTTGATGAAATAGGTCTCTCATTCTCATCTCATCTCTACTTCTAAGTTTTTGTGTGTGTGTGTGTTTGAATAAAAATAAATAGGTCACGTACTTTCAAAGGCATGCAACATAATATAATAAAGAACTCACATTATTCTGAAAATTGCCTAGTTTGACTCACATCGCATAGCTATAGTTTCTTATATTTTAAAGGTGGTAGGTTTGATTTCCGTTTTTTTTTTCAATTCAAACGAAAATGATGGTATATAACACATGCGCATAAATATGAATGTAGCGGAATTGCTAGGGTTGCCACTAATACCATCCTACTCCCAAGCATCAAGTTCTGGCGACCAAATGGTTAACGGTGTCAATTTTGCTTCCGCGGCCGCTGGAATCCTTGATATTACCGGCCGGAATTTCGTAAGTTTTTGTTTGTGATTACACGTTTGATTGATTGGTAAATAAAATACAGTATTGGGTAACCTCTGAAATTATGTGGTACAATTACATGAAGGATTATTGATATTTTTGCTGATTATGTAGGTGGATCGCCTCCCATTCAACCAACAGATTAAGAACTTCGAGGACGCATTGGATCAAATAGCGGAGCACTTGGGTGCAGTGGATGTGAGTCAGGTGCTCTCTCAAAGCCTGTTCTTTGTTGGAATGGGTAGCAATGACTACCTAAACAACTATCTCATGCCAAATTACCCTACGCGCAACCAATATGACGGCCAACAGTTTGCAGACCTCTTGTCCAAGGAGTACACTAGTCAACTCACTGTAAGATACTTTGAAATGGAATTCAAATTTCTTTTTCTAGTGGCATTGTTTTTCATCGTAAGTGTGACGTTTTGAATTAGAAACTTTACAATCTTGGAGCCCGGAAATTTGTTTTGGCTGGGATAGGACTGATGGGCTGCATTCCAAGCATCATTGCACAAGGAACGACAGGGAAGTGCTCCGAGGATGTGAACCAGCTTGTTCTCCCATTCAATGCGAACATGAGGACAATGATTAACAACTTAAGCACCAATCTCCCTGGTTCAAAGTTCGTATTCGTTGACGTTCATAATATGTTTCAAGATATACTTTCTAATGCAAAATTTTATGGTAATGCGTACGTCACTGGATGTTTATCTTCAATATCATATAATTTATAGAATTAGTAAATGTTTCTTGAATTTGTGATGCAGGATTACGTGTGGTGAATAGAGGATGTTGCGGGATAGGTAGAAATAGAGGGCAGATAACATGTTTACCATTCCAAACACCGTGTCCGAACAGGAGTGAGTATGTGTTTTGGGATGCATTTCACCCAACAGAAGCAGTGAATGTATTGATGGGACAGAAAGCTTTTAATGGTCCTCCTGATTTTGTTTATCCCATGAACATTCAGCAACTAGCAAACATTTGATGATGTACTAAATAAATCCTCTATGATGAAGATCTATGTTTATTTGATGCTCTATCCATTCCCAGAGTGGAAAGTAAAACATACACACACATACCTCTCTCCCACACATACGAAACGTCATTTCTCCCTCCAAATAAGTCACCATAGACATTTAGCTACATTTTTTTTCGTTCATAACGCGACTAAATGTCCTGTCACTTTTGATAAATTATGGCCACAACGTTTATTTCTTTTATAATGACTATTGTTTAGTTTTAATTACATAGTTTTAATCACATGTAACAACTTCAACTATAACCATGAACTATTTTTAGTCTTTGGTTTTCCTCATTTGTCATGATTTTTCTTACTTCTAAACCCACACATAAAACTTTAAACCGTGATTATAAATAAGTTATAGTCAAATGTTTTTAACATGATAATTTTTTAATTTTAATAGCAAATATAGTCACAAGTTTTTCGAGTTTATCATGCACTACAAGAAAAATCTTGAATAGCTACAGAAAATTGTTACAGAAACAAAATCCGTAGTTATTCTACTACTACGGAATAGACTACAAGATTGTGGCCATAGCTATTATGCTATGGAAATGGCTACATAATTGCCTTTCATAGCTAAGTAATAAATTGCTATTGAAAGTAGCTACGAAATCGAAATTTGTAGCTGTTTTACTACAAAATATGTTATAGAGTTGTTGGTTGTAGCTAGTTCGTTATGGAAGTCGTTACGAAATTCATATTTGTAGCTAGTTGGCTACATAATTTGCTACAAATCAAATACATAATAAAATTTTATAGCTAATCTACTATGGAATTGCATTTCATAGATATTTTGCTACGAAAATTTGCTACATAATAAAATTTTATAGTTAATTTACTATGAAACTTAGTACGTAAAACTTAAACGTAGATATTTGTGTATACAACTTGTTTTTAAATTTGAAAAATAGCTACACAATCAAAATCCGTTGGTATTTAGCTACGGAATATTTCGTAGTCATGTAGCTTTGAAATATGTTTCCGTAGCAAAATATAGAAAATTTATTAAAAAAAAGTAATTTCAAAGGTAGCAATTTAGTATCTTAAATAAAATCATTTTTTTAACCAAAATAAATTCATTTACATCCCAAAAATAGACCTAAAACAATGCAGTTAATTATGATATTTTATTAACAATTTCCACATTGATTACACTTGATGAAAATAAATTTCCTCACTCTCAAAAAAATTTGACCCAAACTTTCCCCCACCCCCATCACCAAACTGACGTCTTTCTCCCTTGCCCCAAATCGATAGATAAATCCATACCATAAATTGATGCACTTTTCATCAGTCGTGCACCACCTTACTCCCTCAATCGCATGTATGTGTGTATGCATACGTCGTCGAGGACTTTCTGATCTCTCCTTACGCATATGCACACCATAAGCAAAGACTTATTCTTCTTATACAACATTGATTTCATCCCCAAATCTCCTGATTCAACTCTATTCCAATCAAGTACCGATCATCACCACGATTAGCAACAACAGAAGCACGCTCTATTCATAATTCAAGTTGTATGCGAATTTTAGCGGTAGACAAGGCTGATTCTACTGATTATGCGTATAAGGTATGTAAAACTTCCTTTAATACCTATCAAACTTACTGTTCTCAAATTAGATGGATCTTTCTCCGGTAACCTAGTTCCCTGATGCCAAATCTATTTTACTTTGATTTACGTCATCATCATCACATATATAGTTCAAGATTTCTCTTTCTTTGTTCTTTGTGATCTGGTAAATCTTTACATAGGAATTTCATTTTGTAAATAAGTCTATACTTATATATATATATATATATATATATATATATATATATATATATATATATATATATATATATATATATATTACTATAGCAATTTAGAAATTTGTTTCTATTTGTCCCCAAATTTTGTTACTCAACAGAAGAAGATTAGAAGTTGCCAGTTCTCCTAGGGTTTATGCTCAATTTGATTAATTTAAATCAATTGACATGGCTACCCCACCAGCTAGATCTTGAGCGAATTGTGAATCTTGTTATTAGTAATCTACTTTGTGAGTCGATTTGAGTTATGGAATAATTATTGTAGAAGTTGAACACTTTAATAGAAGTATTTGTCTTCCATTGTAATGAAAGTGTAACAACGTAAATTATCATACCAAAATTTTCATTCTTCAAACACATAAAACTCATAATATATTTCTCATAAACATACTTGTCTCAAGTTTCAACACAATCCATATAAAATGTCATTATCCCAGAATCATCCGCATAATCTCAAATCAGTGTATACTGTCACACCCCCAAACCAAGGATGGCGGAAACGTCCGGGGGTGGAGGACTTCATGTACAGTATCACAACAACGTGTATAATAGTGCTCAAAGTAAATACAACCATCATAAATATAATTGAAAAAGTTACACCAAAGTATATGTTTACATGTTTCAAAATCAATTACATTATGATGACAAAAATAAATTGTTGACGGTTTAACGTCCCATCCTCAAAGCACTGAAGTTTTCCTGTTTCACTGATTTCCTGAGAAATACAAGTAGTTTTGTAAAAGTGTCAACAATTAAGTTGGTGAGTTCATAAGAGTTTTGTTTGAAGTAGAAACCGTTTTCCTTGTAAAATCGATATAGTTTGATTTCCAGAAAATCCAATATTTTCTTAGTTAAGTGTGAATAGAAATATTCCTATATGATGCATTAATGAACCCTAGAATGACCCGTAGAGTTCCTCTATAATCGTCCAACGTATATAAGTTATATAAGGTTTAAATTAGACAAAACGTTGAATATAGTGGGTCTACCCTAGGTCCACAACCCAACGAGGAACATGAGATGAGGCGGGCCCCACCAATTCTAAGTTAATCGAGACTAAATTCTTATATGACTCAAACATATACGCTCAGCAATTATAGTTGAAGTCTAACGATTCTAGATGAAATATAGTTTCAATATCATAATAACTATCTTAAGTGAACCTGGTACTTTGTATCAGTACCCCCTTTTTGTATAAAGACCCGGCCCTTTGTATTTGTAACCCTTTTTGTATAAAAACCTGGTACTTTGTATTTATACCCCTTTATGTGTATAAACCCGGCACTTTGTATTTGTACCCCTTTTCATATAAAAACCCGGTACGTTGTATTTGTACCCCCCTTTTGTATAAAAACTCGGTACTTTGTATTTGTACCCCCTTTTGTATATAAACCCGGCACTTTGTATTTGTACCCCTTTTTGTGTATAAACCCGGCACTTTGTATTTGTACCCATTTTCGTATAAAAACTCAGTACTTTGTATTTGTACCCCCTTTTATACGAGTATGTTATGTAAATGATCATAAACTATATCTGTTATAGTTTATTAAAATGTTTGAAATGTATATGTACCCTAACTATACCTATTATAGTTTAGTATATTTCTTTGTGGTGTTTAAGAATCCCATTCTATGTAAGTAAAATGTATAGTACAATATAGCTATGTTTAACTTGCTTTGTTTTGTACTAATGATTATGATGGAGGATTCTTATAAATTCAGTAAGTAATTTCCTATTATACAAACATATCATAACAAGAAATACATGAAATATATGAAGTTATCAAAGACATAACACTTTGCTCAACATGTTACAAAGTGTTTTGATAGTTAGAAGTTGTTAACTAATTCTTAATCTTTCTGCACTGTTTTAGAAAAATCATAGAAAAATCATACAAAGTCGAAAACTAGATCCGTAAATTCTGAGAGTTCACAAAATGTGTCTAGTTTACTCATAATTTTTATCACGATTTTTAATGACCTCAAACTTGGGTGAATAAGCCCAAAATCACAGACTGGTACGGATTGTTGTTTGAAAGGATAGGCAGTTTTGTAAAAATCACCATAAATTGTAGAAAAATCGTATGGAGATGTGCAAGTAGTCATTTTAAAGCTAAGAACTTGAGCTATTTGCGCCTTGTACAGTTTTGAAAACAAAAATGTTTAAGATGCACAAAACAGTTCGTGAATGGAGTTGAAATTTTCTGATGAAGGCTGTTAGAAAAATTTAGTTATGTTCTTGGTGTTTTAACTTGTATCCCCCCCCCCCCCTTAAAAACTTGAGATAACATGAAAATGTAGGGGTATGAACTCACCTTAAGTGATTTCATTAGATTATTGTTGAAGAATGGAAGTGTTTAACTCAAGAACACTTGGAGATGCCTTGAAGATTTTCGAGAATCTAACATCATAGTTATGGAGTTTGTGTAAGCAATCAATGATTTGAGTAGGATAAAGTGCAATAATCATAAGGAGGATGAATTATACTTACTAATAGTGGAAGAACACTTGAAAGTCAGCCTTGAATCTCGAATTTGGTAAAGAAAAAGTTTGAGAGAAAAGTGGTGTTTGATTCTTGGTGAAATGAGAGCAAATGAGAGAAATGATGAGAGAGGATGTTTTGTTCCAGCTCTAAAAAATCGTGGGAATGGGTGAAAATTGAGTGTAAGGGACATTGAAGTGACCTAGGTAAGGTGGAGAGGTGTGGCTGGTCATAGAGTGGGTGTGGGGTGGTTGCTTGTGACATAAGTTAAGGCAAGGTCAACACTCCACCTTAAATAAATCCCCCATTAGATTTTTATTATTTAGATAATGATTTTCTTGAAAATATGTTTAAATTATGAAGATTTAGGGTTTATTATGTTAAAATATAATTTCTGGAGAAAATCCCGCTTTAAAATCTCGAAAAACGGGCTTAAAATGTTAAAAATATCAAAAATAGGCTAAAAGTGACAAAATTCCGAAATCTGACCGAGGTTTGGCCTTCTGATGTTAGAACCGAGAGGAGAGAGGGCAGAAACCGAGAGGGGAGAAGAGAGAGCAGAGACCGAGAGAAGAGAAGAGAGAGCAGAGACCAAGAGAAGAGAAGAGAGAGCAGAGACCGAGAGAAGAGAAGGGAGAGCAGAGAAGCGAACAAAGACAGAGAGGAGAGAAGGAGACAGAGAGGCGGGAGGAGACCGAGATGCGAGCAGAGACAGAGAGGTGGGAGAAGATCGAGATGCGAAGCAGAGAGC